AAAGAAACAGAATTCCTTATTATATACTGATCTTACAGCATAATAAACCAAACAGTTATTTGAAGGTTTTCATCTAGATCTTCATAAACTAAAACCAACATAAATTGGAAGTTTTCAATCAATCTTAGAATTCTTTCTATAATATGAAAATCTATATTGTAAATTGCTTTAGATACTTTTTTTATTGAGCAAGATTTTGAAATAAAGAACAGAGTTGTCATCGATACCATTGGTCATATCACAAGTAATAAAAAATTCAAACAGATTGTTAGCAAATAAAGGCTCTTACAATTTTTAGTAAATAAAGACCAACTAAGGCATCTGAATTTGGCACAATTAAAATTGTTCGTGATGAAACAGTGTTACAATATCTTACAGTGGTTCAATAAATAGGTTAACTTGGAAGAGATTATTGAAAATAATTTAAACATGCTACATTTTAAATTATAACCACTGTGCAAGAATGATATAGAAATTAGTTTCTTAAATCATCATTCCACATACTATAAGAATATCTAGAGAGTAAACTCACATGGATGAGTGCTCAAAATCACTTGGACCAATTTTTTAAAGCAGCTTTAAAATAATTGACTCCCAAATCAAGATATTAAATGCCAACTTCTAACCGGCTATAATGCTTATGGCTAAGATAGAAATGAGATTCTTCACAGAAATGCTGACACAGCCCTAACTGTAGGCATTTGAGCGTGTGGCTATAATTCTTTTTTCAAATCTTACCCAGCAAAGCTTCAGGTAAAAGAGACCGCAGAATATGTAAACAGTAGGAGACAGTCCTGGAGCTTTTACAAAATCACAAACCTGTGACACACTTATATTCATCTCTGATTGCTACTACGAAATAACGAGATCATTCACAATGTATTGATTAGCTCTTTAATAGATAAAAGGTGGGCAGTGTGTTGTAAAAATCAACATTTCTTAATTCATTCGATTTGCAAGAGCTACACATTTTAAGCTGAGAATGGAAAACCTCTAATAAAAGTTTTTCAAAAAAGCCTTCTGCCTTATTTAGCATTTTGACCACTAATCAGAAACAATAAAAAATTAAGAAAAAAACTATAAAAAAAAAGAAAGAAAAAAACTATGGAACAAAAAGTAACAAGGCTTTTCTTTTCCATTCAGAAATCTATTGAGCTATAAAATAGGTTCCCAAGAGGAGTCAGTTTCCTATGTGGAAGGCATTTAAAACTGAATTACACAACCTAATCTTAAAATAGGCCAAGGGAACACAATTTATACTGGGAGGTGAGTGGCTGGAATAGAGGACTTAATTGTCTAATCCTAGTTCTCATTTTTAAAAATGTCTAAGATAATGATGTTTTTAATGAGGAGTCAATTTCAAAGCCCAGCCAACTCTAAGTCGTAACCATGATATGGTGGTATTTTCTTCTCCTCTGCATTGTCATCTAGGCAACAGACGACTATTGATCCTACACTGGAAAATACTGTTTTGATGTTAATTGATCAAAACTGTATGAGGGAAATTGTGATTTCTGAATGGAAGACAGTCATGAGTTATCACTTCTTGAAAATACAGAACTGGGAATAAATATATGTTATGACTATGACACTAAATAAATATTAAAATCAATAATTTGTTAAGATAAAAATATCCTCAATAAGTTCATGTGGGATGATACTATATAATGAGGATGAACTTAAAATTGTTAACACTTTGCATCACAAGTATTCTGATTTTATAGGATTCTAAAAATTTCCTAACTTGCATCGCTTTTTTAATTTATATTTTACTTGATAAACTCATCATTATATCACAGAAAAACAAGTTGAAATGTATAACAAACTAATTTTTAAAATCACCACTAAATTTTATCTTAAACTCAAGCTTATCATCCATTTAAATTCAAATTTAATCTTTTTACAATCTGCATTTTACTTAGAGGCAAAAATCACACTTATTATGAGTTACAAATAATCATGCAAATCTGTGAGAAGCTGTCAACTGGCGAAGTCTTTACCTTGTATCATGTCACAAAATAACACTCATTATAATATTAACTTCAAATGCTAATTTTCTCTTCATTAGATGGCAGACAAGAGATAATGTGCTATTAATATTTTTATAAAGATATGTTGCTGAATAAGAATTTCAAAGAAAATAATACATTCAGGATTGATACTTAATTCTGCAAATGCCTAGAAATCTTATTAATTAGGTATAGCAACCTGCCTGTTAAAACACTAGACACAGGCCAGGAAAATTGGGTAAGGACAAATCACAGACACACATACTTCATAGTTTACCTGCAATATTTATCAATTCAGCTTACTGTTTTCTTAAAAATTATAAATATCCCCCAAACAAGTAAAAATCTAGTTATTGTATCAGTATTATATGATAGGGACTTATTTGGGCCCAACTCCCTCTGACTGCTTTCATATGAATCAGGCAATTTTCTTAAAATTAAAATGTCAATATCCCCCAATGAATCCACTACTCATTTAAAAATATTTAGCATTTTAGGATGGCAGTGGGAATGGAAAAGTAAAATCCAGTTCCAGCGATAACCCAACCTCGTCTCCACTCCCTCCCCCCAAGGGCAGATGTACTATGTACACATGGTTCCTAGAAAATGAAAAAATTAGTTTTCAAACATTTTATCCACTTGCTATTGGGATTTAGCAAAGAAGTTCAATATTAGCTGAAAAGGTAGACTAAAACTATAAGCCATCCAAAGGGCCAAATTATAACTTTTTTTTTTTTTTTTTGGATACCTGCTGGGTTGGGGCGAATGGTGGGATTGGGGGGTGTTTTCATTTAGATCTACTCTGCTCAGCCACTCTGTTTTCCTTTCACATCCTAACCCCCTTGTGTTATAAGGAAACAGCTCTAAGATTGTGGAGAATGTAAACAGCTTTTTATTGTCCAAAAGGATGGCAGTGTAAGGAATGTATGCTTATCGCCCAGCTGCAGCTCCCCACCTCACTTACCATGATAAAGTGCTCCAGGAAAAAACATTACAGCCCAAGCACAATCCAAAAATGGATTAGAATTTGACATACACTTCCTTAAAAACTGATAAATCAAGCCACGCTGTAATATTAGAATCTAGCTCTTAAGGAGGGTATATAATCTTGTCAAGATGTATTTCTTATTCCCTATTGACTCTGGTGGTGTGAAAAAAAAAAAAAAATCTAACATTCCCAATACAGTAAACTGATAGAAGAACTTTTCCCAACACATCCCCCAATATAGCTCCTTATCTTTAAGAGTCTAATACAGTGGAACAGATACACAGTTCATGATCACTGAATGCAAAATTAAATGAATGAACTAAGAGATTCATGAAGATATTCTGAAGATCCTACCTAAGTACTGAGTTCCCCAGGTTTTTACAGTTTTACTTACACACACCATACAAATGTTGCTTTGTTAAATCACCTTTTTTTGGAATCTAGATCAAACATTTCAAAAAGCAAGGGATACTGAAGAGTATTATGGCATATATGTGGCATGCTTAATGCCTTAGATGTAAAATTTATTTTAACATGCCATCTTGTATATAGGCAGTATGTGCTGGCTCATTTAAGGACATTTGGGAACATCACTGCATTTTCTTCTTGAAGCCACTGAAGAATTTCTTGATGCTGTGCAGGTGAAGCTAATCTCTGTGCAAAAGGAATGGACAGGCCCTTTCGTGCTCTCTCCCCTTCACTAAGACATTTTAGAACTCCTTCCATCCTCAAACTTACAGAGTATCTTTGCGTCTACAATATCATATGTATCATAGAGAAACTTTAATAAGTTACTTGATCTTTCCCTCTAAAGGGAAATGAGAGAGACAGAGAGAGAGAGAGAGAGAAGGGAGGGATGAAGGAAGGAAAAAAGGAAGGATCATCATCCTTGGGTTCCTTAACCCTGTTTTAACAGCCAGATTAAACTGGGTCAAGTCTTAAATATGAAGACCAAAGAAACCTTGGCTTCTGGAGAAAGCCCTCTTGATAGCACCGTATTAAGACAAGTGCCAAGAGAGCAAGAGAAATCCATCACAGAGGCGGACTGCGCCAAAGCAATCCCCTTCTATAATTGTACTTTAAAAGTTGTCTTCTTGAACGTCTTACTTGGGATCTCCCTTAAACAGAATTAACTAGCAATCCATACAGCATACAGGTATATTTCGGAAGGAGGAGAGGGTGGCGCCACGCGGGAAAAGCGAGGAGAGATGAGAGGCACCACTGGAACGGTCGCCTAGAGCCTCCCTGGCGGACCGTGCAACCACCTTCTAATACCCTTCATATTCCTCGGTGCCCCCTGAGCCGCCCAGACCAGACAGGAGAGGTCTTCGGGAACAAAATGCGTAGAGACGACGGGGAGGGGGCTCCTGTGTGGAGTTGGATTTGAAAGTTACATCCTGCGTCCCCGCCGGCACAAAACCCCATCCTAGTCCCCAGTGCCAGATAGAAAACGAAGAGAAATCCAATCTGCCTCCCCAAATCGGTCTTTTGCCTAAGTTCTTCCCCAGCAAGGAGCCACCAACCGGCCCTGAGAGCGAGGATGCACGATGCCGTGCTTTATAAGTGTTTGCGGGCATCCGGGCAAAATACCACGTGAAAAATAACCACCAAGCCCCCCAAACTCTGGGCTAGAGGCAGGTCTTTCAGCCCATCCTCATCGCGTCCGTCTACCCTTATCCCCTCCTCGACCGCTCCTCAATAAACCTGTTCCTTCTCTCTCGCCTTCTTCCCTGCCACTTTCTGCCTTCTTTACCTCAGCCCTCCAGTCCCAATCCTCCATAAGCACCGCACTCGCCTCAGGGTCCCCACTCTGATCCCCGTTCCCTGATTCTTTCCCTTCAACCTCTAAGGCAACCCTAAACTCCCTCCACTGCCTGCGCCCCCAACCCCATGGCCCAAGCAGCCCCAGACTCTGCTTCCGAGTCGGCAGCCGGAGCGGTTTTCCCGCCGAAACGCGGCCCCGGCGCGTGGGGCGTGGGGCGCGCGGCGGGCCGGGCACTCACCAGCTGCAGCAAGCCGGGGACCACGACGAGGGGCAGCGGCCGCAGGCGCATGGTGCCGGCTGGCGCGGCGTCTCACGAGCTGCGCGCCCTCGCCTGCCTCTCGCGCATCTCCACTTCGCGGGGCAGGACTGAGGACGCCAGGGACTCCGCGCGGCGCTTCCCTCCCGGAATCCGAGCGCAGCGCCGCGCCACGCCGCGCGGGTCGGGTGGGCGGGCTGGGAAGGGGGTGGGGGAGGGCGGGCGGGAGATGCTTCTGGGGCCCCGCGCGCCCCTCCTTGGAGGGGGCCGGAAAAGGAGCGTGGGGGGCAGCTCGAGCTCCGGCGTGCTGCGCGGGGTCCCAGCAGCGCCCGGGGCTCCCGCGTCCCGGGGTCAGGGTGAGCGCGGCGGGCGCCCGCGGGCGGGAGGCTGCGGCTCCGGCGCTTTGATGCGGGGTTCCCGCGCGAGGCTGCTCCCGGAAGAGCTGAGCGCGCCCGGGAGCCCTGCGAGGCTCCGGGGCCTTCTCCGCCCCCGCTCAGCAGAGGGCCGGTTGGGCCGGGTGCCCTGCCCACTGACCAGCTCTTGTTTTGCTGGGGAGGTGGCAGCGGGGATTGGGGGGGGCGGGTGGTCTCCCTGAGTGGATGCAGGAAGGAGCGCGCCGGGAGAGCACCCAGGGAGTTCTAGGGGAAGGCGACGGCAGGGTCCTGAGGCGGGGCGGGGGGCGGAGGTGGTGGTGGTGTTGAGGGGTGCTGGAGCCCGGGACGCCCCGGGAGAGCGCCCTGCTCCGCAGCAGCCCTGGCTCTCAGAGCCCGGCGCAGGGGTTCCAAAGTGAGGCTGGTGCGGCTGGAAGAATGTCTGGAAGTGGAAAGTAGTGGGCACCTAGAGGGACATTGAGGAGGGGTAGCGGCAGGGCTCTGAGAAACCGAGCTAGGTGTAGAGGTCCAGGCTTACTCGGGTTTGAGGATGCTGTCGGCTGCTCGGTGTCCAGGAGGAGGATAGAGCTGCGCCCGGGCGCCTGGGGAGAAGAATAAGGAGAGGAGACCCTGCCGCAGCCTCCCTCCCAGTTGGGAAATCTTGGAGAGGGTTTCTGAGGCCGCGGCTGGGCGAGGCCAGAAACCTGCTGCCCGCGATCGCTCAACCCCATGTTAACAACTCTCCATTGGAGAGATCCTTAACCTTTAACTATCTCTGTGCTGGACCCTCTAGTGGAAAAGTCAAGGGACAGTGGGGCTCAGGTACTCCCACGTTTACGGCGGGTGAGAATTTAGACATCATCCATCAGCCTCTTTATTGAACAGATGGGAAATCTAAGGTCCAGAGAGGTAAAATCAGTTCTCCAGGGATGAGTCTCTAGGCAGCTACTTCAAAAGAACACTCAAGGCAAGGCTAGTTCCTACATCCTCTTGCAAATGAAAAACACGTTGAGGCAAGAGAGTGGAATTGAGATAGATTTTTATTTAAAAAAAAAAAACAACAACAAAAAGTGAAATTTGGGTTGGAATTTTAGGGGAAAAACGTTTCCATCTCCTGCTCTTACTGCTCTTCTACCCCCAAATAAAATGCAACGGGAGTTGGTAAGTCTTTGAATGGTGCAGGACCAAGGGCAGGAGGACTGACCTGGGTAGGGCAAGGTCCCACCCTTCCTTTCACCGGGTGTGTCAATTTTGTGCAGATGGGGAGGGAGGTCATTCCAGAGTGTTCTGGGGTCCCAATGTGACTTTGAAAGTTGTCCCTGAGGCTGCAGGTGGGGTACCTCTCTAATACAACTCCATTTCCTGTATGGAGGAAGAGAGGCAAGCGAGGGTTGTATATCCTTCCTAACGCCTCACCTAGCCTGACTGGGGGATTCTGGGGCCCGTGGCAAAGGCTGCAGCAGCGAGAACCCACTTTGTCCTCAGACTCTTCCTTTTCCTTGCAACAGACTCAAAAACAAACAAAATCATTATTTGCATATCTAAATATATAACTCACCTCCTTATAGCTACCCTTCACCTCCACAAAAATTCTCTTTACCTAGGCTTAGAGCTCACTTCTAGAAAGTTATTCTATCCTAGAAGCATAAATAAGATAATTTCAAAAATTGGGAGCGATCTCTGTAGGTTGATCTTCTTGTCCAACTTTGTCTCTGCATTTTATTTACAGACAATCTTTGGGAAGTGATTAATAGGGAACGAGTTTGGCAGACATTAGAAGGACCCCTTTTTGGAGAGGGGCTGCTAGAAGAGGAAGAAGGCAAACGGCGTTGCAAGAGGCAGTACCTCATATAGACTCAGTGTTTCTGCCGGAGCCCCAGCTGACTCGTCTCTAAAACCAGAAGGTGAGGTCCCTTCTTGGTTTAGTAGTTTCCGATTCTGTTATCATTAGCTCTTTAAATGAGGAGCGCCTGACTTAACACACTATTGAAATGAATAAGTGATTTAATGACTGGAATATTTCACTCTTTTCTTTAAATTTGTTCCTATTTCTTAGACCATTTCTACCCTTTTGGGAAATTTATGCATAAAATTTTAGAACCTAAACTTGGACATGGGTCCTAATAATACTAAGTATTCTCACAATGGAACTTGCTGCAGGGTGTTGGATTCCAAGCTAAGAGCTAACGGACACAAGAGAACGTGTGTCCCGTTGATCAGGCTGTGGCAGAGAGAAGCACCAAGGACCCCCTTGACTAACGTCTGGTATTACTGTGTTTATTTATAAGGTGACTACTGCTAATTTAGTGTATTCCCCAAATTTTGCTGTAAGTACTATGGGAAAGTGGAAGGAAGGAAGAAAGGAAGGAGGGAGGGAGGGAGAAAAGGGGGAAAGATAGAAGCATTAGATACATGGACTGTCATTCCGAACATGCAGTCTAACCAGGAAACATGCAACAAACAAAAGGCAGACAATACAGGGGAGTTCAAGTTTAAGTGCTGCCTAGTACAGTTGGAGGAAGGACAGATCATTGTAGACCAGCATGACTGCTTCATGGCAGAGATAAAATGTGAGCTGGCTCAGTTTCTGAGAATAGCCAAGGTTAGTCTATGTGGGAGAAAATGGGGAAAGCTATTCCATGTGGGAGGAACAGCACAAGCAAATGCCCAGTGGAGGGACTTCGTGTGACTTAACTGAGGGATGGACAGTAAAGTGGGTCAGACTGGCTTTGAGAAAAAGGGAGAGAAAAAGTAGGTTAAAAGCTAGACTGTAGGGATCTGGAAATGCCAGGCTAAATATCAATAGTTTAACTTGGTCTGCAGGAAATAAGACCAAAGTTTGGTCTTCAAACTTTTTGGAGTAGAAAAGTCAGACATCAAGTGGCATAAAGATATACGCAGTGGTAGCAGGCAGGATTGTCTTAAGGACGAAGCTCCATGAGGAGATGGTCATGGTTGCTGGAAAGAAGAGAATGGAGAGATGTGGGTGCAAGAGCTCCTACAGAGGAACAAGGAACTGAATTTGGGGTTGGAATATTGTAAAACTTTCCTGGCATATTAGAGGAATTTTTTTTAACATAATCCCTTTTCCTCTTAGAGGCAATTTAACAACTGGAGAATCAGATCATTGTCTTTTCATTTTGAAAGGGTGGTTTTCCCAGTGTGAGGGGAGTGAAAATGGTCTTTCCATACAGACAAAGTAGCAGAAAGTAGAACTTACCAAATTTTACTGCCATAAGATTCCACTGTAGCCTTTTAAAAAGGTAAATAATAGGGATATTGTCGATGCTTTGAGAGCCAGTCTGTCAACTTGTGGCTCACCGGGACCATTAGCTTTTTCCTTGTGCTTCTCCTCTGCACTTACTTTCTCACCCTTTACTGTTCATTAGCATCGTTACCAGAATGTGGATAAGAACATCATCTGCAGTATAACATTTCAGAGCTGCGGTGGATATCAGACATGAACCAGATTTCTCACTTTACCTTTAAGGAAATGGAAGCTCAACATGTTATGTGACTTGCATCAGGTCATCTGGAGAGAGGCATGGGCGAATCTGAAGCTTGATTCAAGGCCTTCAGTTTCTCGGTGCAGTGTCTTTCCAATTCATCACTCTGCCTCAGGTATTTTTCAGCTGGCCAGCAGTTGTAAAAGTTGTGATGTAGTGAATGAATGAACCTTTAGCGAATAAAAGTTACAGGAATGATCTACGGATGTTAAAAGCCCCTGAGTCGATCTTATTATCAGGAAAAGAGGGTTGACTGTACTGAGCCCGAAGCAGTGATCAGGTAATAATTTTAGAAGGGTGAGAGATATGGAGAATTACATGGCCCAGGGCTCAGAGGAGGAATGGGGACTCAAGAACATGGCAGTGCTTACCCCAAGGATAGAGGGAATTCTCAGGGACCCTCTGGACCTCTTAGACCTCTGTGATAAGAAGCTGGTGGGCTTTTTGGTAGCAATTCTTAATGAAAATCCTTTTCAGTTGCCATTCTTGTTGAGTAGTTGACTATTCTTGAGTCGCTGTTGTATTAAAATGATGCTGCATTACATTGACTCTCAACCCTGATGGCACTGGGGACTTTAACCTCTTTAAAAGTGGACTCAAACATCGGTATTTTTCACCCGGAGATTTCACTATACAGCCATGGTTGAGAGCTACTACTCTACCAGAAACATTTCTTCCCCCCTCCCTCTGCCCTCCCGCCCCCCTTCCCTCCCTCCCTCCTTCCCTCCCTCCCTCCCTCCCTCCCTCCTTCCCTCCCTCCCCCCTTCCCTCCCTCCCTCCTTCCCTCCCTCCCTTCCCCTACAGAATCATAGGCCCCACATTTGCAATGCACTCAGGCCTTTAACAGAACATCATCAGAACCTATTTACATCCTTAGTTTTTACAGAACTTTTCAGGAGAGAACTGGACATTTTCTTTGTAGCCGTTTCGACATGATTGGGGGATTTATGAAGTTTTATCACACAAACGTATCAGTTGTTCCAAGTTCAAACACAAATCAAAGAATTCTTCTACAGTGAAATTGTTTTTTTTGCCACAACTCTCTCTCTTCACCATCTCTTCCCTTGGATGTCAGAAGATGCTGCCAGCAGTGTACTGGTGGCTGATGCCACTGTCAGAAGCCAAGGGGAGAGGCTGGAGGGAGAGGAAGAGAGGCAGCCTGGGGGTCCCAGTGGGTCCTGTGATAAGAAG